TAACCGACCACTAGGTGATACCCTCAGGGCCGTGGAGGGTAAGCCTCAAATTCCTTAAGTTCCAGAGGACAGGGTTTCAGAACAGACCATCCTTTTGGATGGTTACCATCTTTCCCCAAGCCCAGCTTCCAGCCTCTCTACCATCTCAATAAGCACAGTTTTCAATCCCCGGTACCAAAAAAAAAAAAAAAAAAAAAAAAAAAAAAAAAAAAAAGCACAGTGGCACAGGGAGACAAATGTGACCCTATGAACTTAACGTGTGGCCACTTTGTATCTCCATTTTTCTAACTTCTCCCCATGCCCACAGTCTTCACTGACTCAAGAGAGCAGAATCACCAAAACTTAAAACAGTAAACTGGACAACCCTTATATTCAGAAGTAGAAACAAAGATAAAATTAATTCAATGGCGACTGATTATAGAACAGCTTCATCTAACTGAACTCTCTTCACTGATGGAAATGTTCCAGATCTGTACTGTACACTTTGTAGTAGCCGCTATCCACCCACAGGGGCTACTGAGCACTTCAAATGTGGCTAGTGAGACTGAGAAACTCAATCTCAAATTTTATGTAATTTTAGTCATCTTAAATACTCTCTTGTGGCTAGTGGCTACCATATTGGAGAAAGCAGCTCCAGAGGAACTCTCCTCTCCTGCTGGAGGCCTATGCTCAACCACTTGCCTTCATCCAAAACATGCTCTTTATGACTGCTTGAAAAGTTTAACTCAGAGTTCTTGGTAACGTTATACTGGTACTGTCAATATCTTCCTACGCATTTATTCAAATGAGGAAAGAAGGTACACATAGATTAAAATTAATGGAGAGGAACGTGCATTTCGTTTAATTTCATTTCTTTGCTGATTGCAGTATCTTCAGGATTGCAAAGTCTTGAAGCAGACTGGTGGATTTAGATCTGGGGTCAAAGGAGAGGTCCATTCATGAGCTACGACATTGACAGTTTGTAACATTTAATTGGTGACTGAAACCAAGCTGTTCACGCCTGGAACATGAGGCAGATGATGCACCCCTTCGAAGCGATTTAGCTTGCATAAAGGGAAAACCATCAAGGTCTAGGTAGCAGAGTAGATAAAGAAAAGATGGAACCTTATGTGAGAGCATAAGACATAAATGTCTTGAGAGTCACAACACTAACTAAGCAGGGAATGGCATGAAACCCTGGTGTTTAGTTTCAATCCACATATCTCAATGTCTTTGTTATTGAGCCCATTCTAAAATTTTAAGTTTTATCCCATGGCTTGGGCTATGTACTTAAAGCATGGGCGCTGTTTACTATTTTATTTCTCTGCGGGAAAGCTTACTTACCTTTTATGGATGAGACTTGATGGGTGGGTGAGGCACCGTCATGTAGACCCTATAGATTGACACTCCTACTTCTTTTTCTCTAGCACAATGATGGATCTTTCATCAGAATCCCAATTTGTGACGTTCATATATGTATACTTTCCAGAGAAGCACATTTTACGTATGTCTGTTCTCTCTGTCCAACGTCCTCACGATACCTCTTTTTCCTTCACAGGTCATTGCTTAGGTCCCATGCCTCCTTGAGCATGAGCCTCAGGACCGCTAACCTCTGTCTTTTCACGAATTACTGAATCTACTGGATGGACACCACTGGAAAGGAATGTAACAGAAGAGGCTGTGTATACTGAACTGTACTCATAATTCAATCCTCCTCCTTAACACAAGCAGAGACACAGACCCTAACAAGAGATATAAGAATATCAGAAAAAGAGACAGGCAGAGACTGGACGGTCTTGTAGACAGAGACAGAGAGAGCTGGGAAGAGAGAGAGAGAGACAGAGAGAGAGAGACAGAGAGACAGAGAGACAGAGAGAGCTGTGTATACTGAACTGTACTCATAATTCAATCCTCCTCCTTAACACAAGCAGAGACACAGACCCTAACAAGAGATATAAGAATATCAGAAAAAGAGACAGGCAGAGACTGGACGGTCTTGTAGACAGAGACAGAGAGAGCTGGGAAGAGAGAGAGAGAGACAGAGAGAGAGAGACAGAGAGACAGAGAGACAGAGAGACAGAGAGAAAAAAAAATACAGACAAGGAAACACAGAAAAGAGGGCAAAGAGATCAGGAGGAATAGAAGCAGCAGAGTTTGAGAAAGAGAAAGACAGATACAGGAAGGGCGTAGGCACCAAATCATAGACATAGATAGACACGATGCCAGGCAGACACAGAGACAGAGAAAGACAGACCAAAAAGGGATTGGGGCAGAGGGAGAAGGAGCGGGGAAGAGGGAGAGGAACTGAGGTGGAGAGCAGAGGAGAGGGGAGGGAAGCACAGGGGAAGGGAGGATAAGCAGACATAAGTGACAGAGATACAGTAGTGGAAATATAGACATCTTGACAGACAGGAGTACAACACTCTCGATTCTTAGGCACGTAATAAATTTTGTGCCTTCCTATTCCTGTTTTTTAGGACAGGCAGAAACACACGTATCACACACAGACACACACAGACACACACACACACCTTACACAAAGATCTACAGGCATGTCCCGAAACAGAAAAACAGAGACAATAATGTAGGAACATAAAGAGACAAAGGTAGACTGAAAAAGAGACAGAGAGAGACAAGGACAAAGGTATACACAAAGATGTATAAAGACAGACATAGATACAGGTAGAGATAGACGGGTAAAAATAGAGACAAACAGAGATAGCGAGTGACAGAGGCACACAGAAAGAAAAAGACAGAGCCAGAGTAAAACACTCATCTATCAATCTCTCCAGTGTGGATACCGTTTTGTTTTGTTTTTTTGTTTTGTTTTTCTTCCGAAAAGCATCAGCTCGAGAAAAGCAATATGAAATCGCTTCAAACCTTTATATAAAAGAAGTGAAACTGTTGGAGAAAAAGTACTGCTGCTCTTAAACCATCGTAGCAATTGCTACTTATTCTTCCCCTGACTGTATTTATTCACTTTTTAGAAAAATGGAAATGGGGTTTGTTGTCTGCAGTTGGTCAGGTATACAGAGCTCAAACTGTCACAGCAGAAGGGACATACAAAATTAAGGGCAGACATCAAAGGGTGCAGCGGGGGCATTCTTGATTGAGCCATTGCGTACTAGAGTTACTAAATTTTAATACACTATGTAGGTTACATGTGGCAAAGCCTTTCAAATCTTCTTAAATAAAGGGTCAAAATTACTTCTTCACTGGGTGGCAAAGGATTTAGTTTACTTGGGAAGAGAAATACAAACCCATAAAGAAAATTCTGGTTTCAGCTAAAGAAAACTTCACATCTCTTGACTAATTTCTTATTCGTCTTTTATTCACTGTTTACACTCTTACAAGGTATGTATTTATTATTTGTACAGATTTTTAACATGAGTTTCCATCTGTTGACATCCTTTAACCACAAAAATCAATCAATTAAATGGAGACAAGCAGAACATTTAAGGAGGGTGTGAGGTGATGGCAGTTTTCAAATTAGCAGTAATCAGAAGTAAACATAGGGCCGGGGAATTTAGCTTAGTGGTCCCACCGCCTGCCTCACAAGTTCGATCCCTGGTACCAAAATAGAAGAAAGAAAGAAAAAAAGAAGTAAACATATTCAGATTGTGACTAGTGTGTCTATCCGTTTTGGACAAAACACATTCTACCCTACTCTCACATTACTGTCTTGGAACTCCCATCCTCTGCTCCCTTTCCAAATGCCAAGCATTTCTCTTAATTCAAAGCCATCCTTTCTAGAGGCTGCATTATCTATTACCAGTACTGCTCTTCAGCAAGAAGCAGCCTTTCTGATCACTTGCTGCTGTTGTTGCTGTTGTTGTAGCTTTCCTGCTTTTCGGAACCCATGGCTTTCCATGATACAAAAGGCCTCTACCACTGAGCTACATCCCAACCCCCAAATACAGTTCTAAGAGCAAGCATCCCTTGCTGAAGGAATACTTTCGGGCACAAAATATGGAAATGCTAAATATGGTACTGTATAGGCCTCTTAGAATCTGACTGCTTCCTACCACCCCACCCCCAGTAGAGGGTGTTATAAACTTTAAATCTTTTTCTGGGATTAATACGGTAGAAGGGTTCAAGTCTCATTAACAAACATAGATGTGCTCTTTGTATGAAGAACCACCAACAAAACGTTCACCTGTGAGAAACCATGCAAAATCAGTGCTAGGTGAAGCACGGGCAGGGATGAGGGGATAAAATGAGAACCAAGACCTGTCATGTAAACGTACAAGATCCCAACGATGAATATAACTGTACTATATACCTAAAATGTAACAATAAACTCAGTGAGGAAAAAAAAAATCAATGCTAGGAAATGGGGAAGGGAGAACAACAGAATGAAGCCAGTGTTGCTGATGTTACCATGAATAGGGCGGGTTAGCTCTGAAAGTGCTACCTGAAAGAGAAGTCAAAGTATTCCCTCAACATTCACTTAATCAAACTAACAGGAAATATGTGGTTTAAAAGAGTTTTCACACCTAAAATGAAAAATAGGATAGAGGAACTGGAGGAGGAGGGAGGGGAGGGGAGAGGAAGGGGTAGGGAATTAAACAAAAAAAAAAGGAAAAGAAAGAAACATGCTGTAATATATACATGTAACCGTTCCCCAAGACAGTTATAAACCACATGAGTTGCAAACATGTACAATTAAAATAAAACATTAAAAAAATTTTCACTAAGAGAAGTAAAGTAGGTAGGCTCACAGTTTCTCTAAAGTCACTCGGTCTGTCTTCTCAGAAGTGATGTGGAGGTTGATGGGTGGCAAACCAGGAAGACAGATTGCCACATTAATAGCACAATTGAGTTCCGGAGATGTTTTGGGGTCTTTAAAAGGTATGCTCCTCACACATCCCTCTAAACAGTTTCAAGCTTTATGAGTCAAAGCGTATTTTAATAAAGCCTCTGCGGGGTGGATCACCAAAGATAGGAAAGCCTTATCGGTCTCACAGCAGCAGCCGATATCTGAAGGTTGCTGCCCACTCCTGATCCCAGAGACGAGATGCTCAGCTCTCTGGCCTCCTGCTCGGGTCCTCACCCCGGGCAGTACCAGTCTCTCCGGGGAGGTACATGAAGTTACATGCCATGTATATGGGAAACTCCAAATCTTGGTTCTCTAGATTCAGTACCAGTAGTTCTTGATCCTTTCTCAGGCAAAGCAGCTTATAGCCTGTGTCCTTCCTGAAAATGGCTCTTCCAGCCCTGTCCAAGGAGACCAGGCGTATTCGGATTGCGACTCTTCTCTGGCAGAGTGAGCTGACATCACGACTATAGGCCGTGCCCGGCATACTGCGACACAATACAACGCACCTGTTGATGTAGCACACCACCAGGTCCCAGCCGACGTTGAAGCCACTCCACTTCCAGCTGCATCGCTCATCTCTGTAGATCTGGCCTCCGCATCGCATGCTGCTTCTGTGGAAGTCGCACATGTGGACCTCTGTGGGCCCGAGCTGCCTGCTTTGCTCGGCCTGGAGGAGTGCAAGCCACTGCTCTCTGTACTCAGGGCTCAACCACGTGGCAGGGATCACCGCATCCCGTTCAGTAATTCGTGAGGAAGGCAGGTCACAGATTATGTAGGTGAGCCGCAGCTGCTGGAACACTGGCACAAAGGCTCTGCCCTGCTCCGTCTCCAGAAAAGAGGCAGCCCCTGACTCCCTCCTGTGCCTGGCAAACCACAAGTCTGCTTCTGGCAGTATCGCTCTTCTGGGATTCCTCCATGTGGGCTGCAGCTGCAGGAACATCCACTTTTTGAGCATGATGTATATGTCCATCTCCACCTCCACCACCAAGAGCTCTGAAGAGGAGATGAGCTCTTTCATGAGATCCAGACTAACATCTAGCAATAGCTGCTCACTGTGCTGTGTCAACAGGTTGTCCAACAGCCACTGGAGGCAAATGGCCCTGATGTTGGGGAGGCCGTAGTTCTCAGCGGAGTAGTAATATCTGCACACGGTCTGTTCACGGACCGTCTCCCTCATGATCTCCTCGCACTGCCCAATTAGTTCCTCCAACTGCAGCATGCTGGCAGTGGCCAGGATGGCAATGACTCGGTAGGGAGGGATGTGCAGAACATGGCGGTATAAGTAGCCCAAAACCTCATGCAGGGCCTCACGATCAATATTCTCATCAGGTATCTGTATCTCTATGATATCCATGTTTGTCTCCCGCCAGGCACCGCTGAACATACCGGCAAAGTATCCTGACTGACACAGATAGACCCTGTGCAAGCGCCACTCTTCCCCCAAAGCGCGTATCTGCACGTCACTGTTCTCACCTCTCAGGAAAAGCGCCTCGTAAATGGGCCTGGACTTGCCCTCGGCACACTCCAGGCAAAGGCTTTTTGCCAGTGGCCCTTTTAGGCCGACGTTCCGCCTTTGGCTACTCTGACTGGCGGTGAGTCGAACCTCTCCCTCCTCTCGGCCCAGGGCTGCTTCCGCCTCTACTGCCTCCTCCCCATCTCGAGCCGCACCTGGCTCTTCCGCTGGCTCTTCTGGGGCACGACGCCCCCTGAGCCACCACGCCCTACTGCTTATGGCGCCCATGGCCCTTACCGCGAGGCCACGAATGCGTACTTCCTTTCGAAGCCTGGAGGCCGCGAACACGTACTTACTTTCGAAGCCTGGAGGCCGCGAATGCGTACTTCCTTTCGAAGCCTAGCCTCCGGGCAGCCCAGAGTGCTTCTGGGAACGGCTTCCGTTGACCTCAGCGTCAACATCGACGTCAAGAGAACACTCGCCTTGTCAGGTCTTTGCCTGGAGAGGCAACAGCGCCCCCTACGAGGGAGGAGGACCCTTGTTTACCTTTCCTCCAGAGTTAGTGACTCTCTGTACTTTCTTTTTGCGTACAATTTACCTACTTATTGAAACATGTAGCGGTCTGTTTTTTTTCTACAGCCCTTGCTTATGATCCGTTGGTGGTTGATGACTTGAATCACTGCTACATAATCTGGAGGAAAGGAGAGTACATTAAGAGGTAAAGCTGGCAGTCCCTTTCAGAGGAAGTAGATATAAGAAGCCAGAGGCCTCCACTACCCACACACCTCATAAAGAATTATGGGATGTGTGCCTCTCAAGGGGAAGTGAAGTAGGAAGACAGGAAGGCTAAAACTAGCAGGGAAAGCACTCACGACATACGTGCACGACAATTCTCAGAACCGTGCTTGTGGACTTCGCGTGAGAACTCAAGCAGGTTTTTTCAGGATGACGTAGAGGTGATACTAGCTTGAGAAATATAAAAAAATAGACCATCACCATGAAGCATTTGCTATCATGTCTCTTCATGGCAGCTCACCCTACAATGTAGGGTGTATTTTTATTTTTGTTTTTTCCTTTCCTTTGACTCAGCCCAAAGATATGCTGCAGAACCCATTGTCACCTAAACTTCTGGGTTCTTCTCTACCTTTAAGAAATGTCAAACTTTGTCACCATTAAAAAAGTTAATGACATTCTTTTTTTTCGGAACCGGGAATTGAACTCTCATCCTTGCGCTTGCAAGGCAGGCCACCGAACCACTGAGCTAAATCCCCGGCCCTTAATAATGTTCTTGTACACCGATGACAAAGTCAGTGAAAAAGCATTTAGTGAAACCATAACTTTCATAGTAGCATCAAGAAAAATGAAATAGTGAGGACATAGCCAAGAGAGTGAGAGACTGCTACAATGAAAACTATAACCCTCTGTAAAAGAAGATGAAAGAATATATTAGAAAATGGAAGAATATTCCCTGTTACTGGCCAGGCAGAATCGATGTAGTCAAAATGGACATATTTTCAAAACTGTTATATAAGTTTAATGAAATGCAAATAAAACTATCAATAAAATTCCTTTCAGAACAATCATAAAATTCATATGGAACCAGAAGAGACCTAGAATAACATAAACAATTTTGGCCAACAAACACACAAGCCAACAGGCATCACAATCCCAGACTACAAATTATACCTCAAAGCTACATGATTAAAAACAGCATGGTACTGGCCAAAGAAAAAACAAAACCAAACAAAATACGTAAAAAACCTTGGGGATCAATGGAACAGAAGAGAAGATACAGAAGCAGTTCAAAGCACATGCAGTTATGCTATTTTTGACAAAGGGGCCAAATCTCTTCACTGGGGGATATATAGCCTCTAACAAATGGTGTTGTGAAAATTGGCTACTTGCTCGACAATGGCTTAACCTAGACCAATATCTCTCTCACTGCACAATAAATTAAAATCCAAAGGAGTCAAAGTTATAAACATTAGAATAGAAACAATCTGCCAAAACAGAAACTATGTAAAACTCTTGAAGACATAGGTTTAGACAACCACTTTCTGAACAAAACCAGTTACACAATAAATAGCACCAAGAAGAAAAAAAATCACATAAAATTGAAAGCCTTCTTTTTTAATGGAAAACCTTCCACACAGCAAAAGAAAAGACCAAAAAGGGAAGAGAAAGCCATTAGAATGAGGATAATTTTTGACAGTCCTCATGCAAAGCACTAGTATCTAGAATATATGAAGAGCTCAAAAACTTAGACTGCCAAATATAGAGACCCAGTCAAAAGTGGGTATCAGAAAATGCATAAAAACTTCTCAAATAAAGAAATACAGATGACCAATATGTACATGAAAAAATGTTCAACATTGCTGGCCATTTGATAAATGAAAACGAAAAATCCACTGAAATCTCATCTCACTCTTGAAAGAATGGCCATCATCAATAAATCAAGCAGTAACGAAAGCAGGTGAGGCTATTGGAAGAAAGGAAACTTTCTTCATTGTTGGTGAAACTATAAACTGATACAACCACTATGAAAATCTGTATGAAGAATGCTCAAAATCTAAAACTGGAGGTTCCATTTGGACCAGCTATTCCTCTTCTAGGTTATCTTCCCAAAAGTGTTAAAGAGAATACCACAAGGATGTATAGATACATGCAGGGATGTAAGACTATTTCATGTTTATAGCAGCACGATTCATACTATGTAGATTAATCTTGGGAACAGCCTGAATAGCAATCAACAGATGATTGGATAAAGACAATGTGGCATTGGATGTTGGAGAGCAGCGGTGTGGACCAGAGCAGTGCAGCTTCAGGCATATCACAACCAGGGCCTCCGCTGACCGCAGGCACCCAGAAAAGAGTTGCACAGGCACCCAAGTGTCAGCCGAAGGCCCACCCCAAACCATCAGTAAGTACATGCAGCTCCTGGAGAGCAGTGGTGCGGATGAGAGTAGCAAGGCTGCAGGCAGATACAAGCCTGGAGGCTGCAGAGATGCCAGTGGCTTTGGCAGGCAGGCCAAAGCAAAGAACTCCTGGCAATGAGCTGCACAGGTGCAAAAGCAGCAGCCAAAGGCTCACCCCAATACCGCTGGTAAGTGTGGGGAGACTCTGGCCAGAACCCTACTCAGGTACAAGGAACTGGGGGACACAGCACCCAGGCAAAGGCCCCCTCCAGGAAAGAGCCACACAGGGGCCCCCGTGAGAGGTACACCTAGATACCATCAAAAGTGTGAACAGGCCACAGCCAGAAGCCTGCCCAGTAAACAGATCAGCACAGGGACCCCGAAGGCCACCATTCTGAACCCAGGAAAGTCTCAGGGGTGAGCAGCAGAGAAAGGGCTGCTCAGTAAGCTTGCTGAGAATGGAAGACTGATAGGTGAGCAAAAAGTTGTCTCAACAAAGGGACAGAAGGCTGCATCTCTTGAGATGAGAAAACATGTAAACAAGTCTCACAACCAGACTTCCAGTTCATCTAAGGCAACCCCAAAGGTCAACGAGGTGGAACAATCTGATACTCAACCACCTGGACTCCCTGAACTGGCAATGAAAGAGGGCCTGGAAAAAAAGACATAGAAATAATTTCTCAGATAACAGCAGAGATCATGCCCATAGTGCAAGACATGATTAATAAATCTAGAGCAGACACAGATAAAAAAAAATAGAAGAGCTGAAGAACATGATGGAATCCCCACATAGATAACAAATGGAATCCATAAAACAGATGCAAACAGATCTCCAGAAGATTAAAATGCCACTGAAAGTTCGTGCAGCAGAATGAAACAATGCAAGGACAGAATTTCAGATATAGAAGATATGATTGCAATTGGTGATCAGGAAAAAAATTTTCTTAAAAATAGTAAGGGACCACAAGACATCAATCCAACACCTTCTGGACAATGCAAAGAAGAATAACATAAGACTGATCAGAGTCAATGAAGAAGCAGGAGAGGAAGCAGACCACGGTAAAAAAAAAGAAAAAAACGTTCGTAGAAGTAAAGGCCAAAAACTTCCAACATGGGGAAGAAGAACTTGACATACAGAGAAGTGAGGCATATAACACTCCAAGTAGCCATGATTTTAAAAAATAAACTATGCATAAGCATATACTAGTTAAGATTCCAGAAACCCAACAGAAGATCAAAATTCTACAAGCAGTTTGAGAAAAGAAACAAATCACACACAAAGGAAACCCCATCAGAATCACAGCCGACTTCTCATCACAAACACTCAATGCAAGAACAGCATGGCAGAATGTATATCAAGCCCTAAAGGAAAACAGCTTCCAACCCAGATGGATGTACGCTGAAATATCATCTTTCAAAACTGGTGGAGAAATAAAAAACATTCAGGACAAAGATCAACTGAGGAACATCATGAATACAAAACCAGCACTTCAAAAATTTTAAACAATATCCTAGAAAAAGACAATGAGGCACCACCACCCTAGGAAGCTGAGCAGAAAGAATCCATCAGTCATGACAAGAAATTAAATGCAAAGGGAGTAAACCAAACAACAAGAAAATGTCATGACAAGGATAAGTCAATACCTATCAGTCTTTTTTTTTTTTTTACAAAAACAATCGGAAAACATTTATTATACTGAAATGTGTACATCCTGCTATTAAAAAAACAAAATAGCAAATGTGCTGGTGCCATACTTTATTTAACCTGTTCCTCTGGACAGACTCTAACTTTCTAATGCCACTGGATGTAACTTCAAGTTTGATAAGCTTGTAACTATTTTTACCCCACGTCTAAAACCCGATGAAGATTTGAAAATACCACACAGCATTAAATGACATTTACTGTTCCATAAATCATGAGACCCAAAAAGGAATGCTAAATAGACAAGCAAAATTTTCTAAAACAATTAAAAGTTCACTTCTTTCCCAAGTGACTTACAGAAAATATGGACACACAAAAGCAGAGGGAGGACAAAAAGGCAAGCTCTGTGATACAGGTCTATGGGAGTCACAGGTATTTCCCAACCTAACTAGTGAGACAGTGCTTCTTTGTAGCAAGTAATTAGCCACTTTTATGAATAAACAGAAAAATGTTTACTCATAAAAGGAGATTTGTCACCTGGGAGAGAATTCAAACTCAATCGTTCCTATTCCCACCTGAACAAGGATGAGGATGAAATAGTACATCCAAAGCTAAAACTGCTAAGTGGACAGATGCTATGATTAAAATGGAATAAAAGTTTGTTTGTTTTTTAAAATTCAGTCTTGATGTACCACTGGCTTCAAAATGCTTTCTGATGAATTTTGGGCCGC